TACTCATATTCTAAAATTACAGTATTATTTTAGTATCTTTTCTAAACCAGTTGCATGGATTATGATGGTACCTTTAATCTTAAATTACAATATTGTTTTTGTATCTCTTCTGAACCAATTATATAGATTGTTATTCATGCTTGATAATGAAATTGATTTCTCTATTATTACTCTTATGGTCATATATTATGAAATAATTGATGCATTGTAGTATTATATGTTGAGTGATATAAAATTGTGAATGATATAATATTGATAGAGCGATTGCATGTGTATTCTTGACTATGATACATCCACTCTTTGATGTTATTTGTTGCGGAACACTAAGGTATCTGTGCACGTTTATGAAAAAGGATATTGTAGTTATCGTGTCTTAATTGATACTATTTTTAGACGGTGCTTATGTAGCGATTGTACATATATAATATAATATTGATATGCTATTGATATAATAATCTTTGAATAACATCAAATATTTTTATTGGTTTATTAAAATCTTGATTGAAATGCATATTTCTTCCTTTTCTCTTGTATTACTGTTATTTATGAGTATGAATATTCACTAATTTGTTTAGCATATTATTATTTTAAAATAACTTCTCAGGTTAATTAAGAGATTAACGATGAACGTTAAAAGAGATAACTTTTTTAGAAGACGTGGAAAATCAGTAACAAGGTAATTTAGATATACAACTTTAATTCATTTAATTAGTGGTTGTTTCATTTTATTAATAGCTTGTTTTAGAAAATGAACATCGAAATTTTATTTTCCATCGTCCGATCGACTATTCCCGCCTTGGTTAATTCCAAGCCTCGCGTCGCGTCGCGACACTTCCAATATATAAAAGAGCTACTAAGAAACCACAAGTATACTATATAGAAATCGAAACATCCAATAATAACAATAAAGTATGTAAACAATATCCCAATCCAACTTATAATCGTATATCACCACGTTTAAGAAGGCAATATATAAAAAAACTATAGTATTTTTCATAGCATGATACCTATTAGTTGTAGTTCTCTTCTAAACTAAGCTCTATTGTCAGACATAAATTTACAGTTTTTTTTATAAAAAAACATTAAGTTCACTATTTAGCAAGCTCTTATTAATCTTTATATGCATTAAATTTATGTATAAATTTTATGCATGAATGACAAAAATAAATAAAATTCATTATTTTATAAAATTGTAAACTCACTTTAAATTTTTCTTTACATTTTAATTTAAGTATTTACCGTTTTTAACATCTTTAAGAGTCATATTAGGATTATCGTTGTATTCAAAGGTATATTCAAAATTATACCTATAGGTACCCTCAAAATTTTGCATCACTATTTTCTTTATTGTGCACGGATACATCGCTTCTCTTCCAGTACCATGTAGGGTCATCCTATTTGTCATAAGCCTTTACATTTCACTTTTTTTAATTAGTTTCATCTAAGGTCATTGAAATCACAATTTTGTTTTTTATTTTCACATCATTTTTTTTATAAATCCTTTAATTCAGAACATGCCTCTAATTATAAAAGAATTCTGTTAAATAATATGACAGTTCATTGTTAAATGACACCCAAACTGAATTCATAAAGGAAAATATTTACTCATTTTTTATTTAAATGAATTTTGATTTTTTTTTCCCTTCACTTCCTCTAGAATAGAGAATTGTTGAATCTCTCTATCTTCCTTTAATTCAACTTCCAGGTAAATTAAAATCACTAAAATTAATTCATAAAATTGTTGATATGAAATTAACACCACTTTTAATTAAACCAATTTATATAATTTAAATATAGAATTTATAAATCTTTACCTTACCTTTCTTCGAATGTTTTGATTCACCTCTTCCTCAAATTCCAAGAATTTATTAACTTTCAATTCTTGATTAATTTAGACATCACATGAGCATTTACATTATCAAATATTTACTTAATATAAATAAAACCTCAACATTTATCTTCTCCTTATTGAATGAAAGTAATAATTCCTTCCTCAAAATCTTACGAAGTAAGAGTTCTTCTCTGAAAAGGTCATGTTTTATTTTGACATTTTATTAATATTTTATAATTAACAAACACACACACATCAAATACATTTAATAACTTATTAAAATTTCTAACATACCTTAAAAGTCCTTCGACTGCCCGCAATTCTTCCTCTTCCCCTGTACTGGAAATTCGCATTACTCTACCCCCTTAAACTTGGTACTTAATAACTTTGATCATGATTCAAGTAAACTTTCTATTAACACTAATTAAATAAACAACTAATCACACTCATATTTGTATATATTAATTAACTTAATTAAAAATCTCAAATCTGCCTCTATATCCTTTGACCGACTATCCTACTCTCACACACACACACGTGCTTCCCCTTTCTCCTCTGCCTTCGATCGCGACTCAACTCGACACCGCAAGCACTCGCCGGCACCGCTGCCACCGCCGCATCCTTCTTCCTTCTCTTCCTTTGCACAAGAGCACAACATGACCTCTTTTTTATTCATATCACATGAATCTTTCCTCCTTCGCACACGGTAGCAACACACATAACCGCTTTCTCCTTTTGTGAGCTACAAGAGTTGCTCTTTGATTCTAATAATCAAACCGCTTGACGGTTGTTTCAATTTGATTTTTTTAATTAATTAATTATTATTATTATTATTCTCTTATTTCAGTTATTGCAACATAATTATCTACCTTATTTTGAAAAACTTTGCTTTCTACTTATTTTTTGAATTTTAACAATATTGAATAAGCATACACCAAGGTACATCTTCTTTTAAATGTCCAGTAAGAACATCTATAACTAAAGCAAAAACATAGGGGCTTAAAGCCGATCCCTGATGTAATCCAACAAAAATAGGAAAATATTTGGTCAATCCTCCTCCTGTTCGAACACAAGTAACGACCCTAGTATACATATCTTTAATGACTTGAATATAAGTCATGTCAACTCCTTTCTTCTCAAGAACTTTCCAAAGGATATCTCTTGGAACCTTATCGTAAACTTTTTCTAAATCAATAAAAATCAAATGTAGATACTCCTTATTAACTCTGAATTTTTCTATTAAACCTCTCAATAAATGTATAGCTTCCATAGTAGACCTGCCTGACATAAATCCAAATTGATTTTGAGAAATCTTTGTAATACGTCTTAGCTTATGTTCAACTACCCTCTCCCATAATTTTAAAGTGTCACATCAACTTAATTCCTCTATAAAATTTAATTATATCTATATTTAATTAAATATTATATCATGAAAAAAGTCTTTAATGATAAAAAAATTTTAAGCTCTCGTGTATAAATATGGAGAATATGGATCCTATTATGGAAGAGAAGATTGTAGCGGAATGTCTCTTAAAGTGGATATCACGGTTTATCACTTTGGCTAACCTAATTTGAAAAATCAGAACCACAGAATTTTAGGGTTTTAAGTATGACAGCCCACCTGTGATGTATTAGCATAAAGCTTTTTAAAATTTTTCTGAGTGATAATTATCATAAATTATTCTCATAGGGTTTCCGTAGTTGTGATTTAAACCAGATTGTCAGATAACTGTTGTAATTCCATGTGTTAATATGACCTAACTGATCTCCAGAAAATAATTTTAAGTCCTCTTTATTCTTACTTTGGTTATCACAACCCTTTGATACAATCTTTCAGTAAAGTGGTTGGTTATACTTGAATTAAATTTTAAAATCATAAATTTCTCAATATTCTTTGACTTGGTGTGGATCGTTTTTGTTCCTACTTTATTCAGCGTTATTGATGCACCAAGGCATATGAACATTAATTATTCCTTTCTTTCAATGTGTGTCTGTGTGTGAAGTGGTGTATTGTGTCGATTTGGAATCAATGTGGGTACCTAAGGATCTGTGATGTGCTAGTTCTGTCTATTAATAGATCTTGTTATAATTTTGCAGATTGATACGAAGGATATTCTTTTTATATGTGGTGGTGCTTTTGTTGATTTGGAAAAGACAATTTCTGAAAGGTAACTTATTTTCTTGGCGACTGTGCAACTTTTGAAGAAGATATTGGGCTAACATTTTATTGTACTTCAGGCAACAAGATTCTTCAATTGGTTTTGGAGCACCAGTTCGTGCAAATATGGGGACAGGTGCACCAATAAATGCTGCAGTGACTTCATCCTTATTGGAATCTGTAAGTATTAAAAAAATATATGAACTTACATGGGCCATTTTTTTTGTGTTTTTTCCTTGCCCCAATATTGGAGCATTTTCACAGGTTGAAAGCGGTGATCTCATAGCATATGGCCTCATCCCAGAGTTTGTTGGCCGGTTTCCAATAATGGTTAGCCTTTCAGGGCTGACTGAGGGCCAACTTGTTCAGGTAATTTTGAAGATTACTTCATTCGTTTTTCAGGCATAATATATTGATATTGTTGAGGATCAATTGCTAACTCATATGCTGTTAGTTATGAAACACAGATACTTTTAACGGGGCTGTGTATAATGTACAACATTTTTAGATGCTAGGGTACACTCAAATTGTAATAATCAATTTTTGAGAAATTTGGTAAAATTTTTTGCAACATACAATATGTCTCAATTTTAGGTTCCCTCGTATTTCAGTAAAAATAATTTTATTAAATTCTACATAAAAAATTGATCAATTTCATATAAAGTACCACACATGAATAATGGACGGATTGGGGGTTATAAAATTTGAAAATTATTAGTTTTAATAAATTAAGTAAAGTTAATTAATTCCTTAATCCACCCTTAACCCTACAGCTTTACTGTTTCTAACCGACTCTTATGCCTTCTTATTTGCAAGTTTCGGTCGAATAGAGCCGCTAAACTTTGAATTTCCTCTTTTATCCCGATTTTCTCTCCCAATTCTGCCTTGCGTTTCGTCGCCTGCCACGACCTCCCGCACAGAAGGGCACCCGGAAACTTTAGCTGCTGGAAACGGCGAACCAAGTGGCTACCTGAGTGCCGCAGAGCACGATTTAGGGCTCTAGGACAAAATTAGTTAGTGTGAAACTGATTTAGCAACATTTTCAGTTTCTTCCTCGCACTTTTATTTTGAACTTTACCTTGTTTTTCGTGTCTTTTTTTCTTTTCGGTAGCCGTCGGAGGTGTCGATCTTGTGCTGAAAGTGTCGAATGCAGTTTGCGAGCTCCATAAGGTATTCTGGCACAAATACAAAGGAAAGAAGAGTTTGAGAAGATAGAAAGAAGTAAAGAAAATTTGGCCGCTTTGAAGAAGAGCTGGTTATCAGAAAGACTGTTTAAGGTATATTTTAGTATTTAAATTAAGTTTAAGATATCTTTAAATCTTAAGTTAATGTTGGGTTATAGGTTGTTAACCGAGGCGACAGGCTCGAGGCGAGTGTGGAGATTCACTGTAAGGCAACCCTGTAACTTTCAAGTAAATTAAACTTAAGTCAAGAATATTAATTTGATTAACAGAAATTATTTCATTCTTAAATATTAATGTCTTATAGTTTATTAATCGCAAATTAAAAGTCACTGCAACCTCCAGCTAATTGTCGAAGATTAAGAGTTTAATGTGGCAACTGAGGTGAATAATTATATTTCTAAATTTCAGTAATCTTCTTTATTTTAAATTGTACCTTTGAATTCATGTATGCAACAGTTTAATTAGATCTTTCATATTGTTAAATAGGAAATATATGCATGATAAGCATAATAGGAAAAAATGTATATGCATGAGATGAATGTTATTTAGATAAACATTATTTCTAAGATAAACATGTAATATAGACATGTAGGAAAGATATGCATGATATAAGCAAGAGATATGCATGATATATATATATATATATTAATGATATTGATGATATGCTTGATGAATAGTTATACAACAGAATAAATATGAATGTTAGTAGATGCATAAAGATGTATCAAAATAATATATGTTATGCAGAATGAAATAATTTATATATGAATGCTTGTATGTGCATGTTCAGAGGAGGATTTCACCCTCAAATGGTACAAACAATGAACACCAGTGTACCCGCACGCGTAGAGTTTTTCTGTCACCACAGATAATTGTAATGGTTAGATCACGGACTACTGTGCCAACCAGATAATATCGATCGAGGGTGAGTAGATCAGAGCTTACCTTCATAGTTGTAATGTTTACATTACTAGCCGTTGTGCCGACGAGATAATATCGGTCAGGGGTAGGTAAGAGTGTTCGCCTTGGACAATTACAAAGTGTAGATCGTTAACCGCTGTGTTGACGGGAGCCGACGAGGCAATATTAACCAAGGGTTTATTAAGTTTGTTTACGGTGATTCTTACAAAGATAAATGTGTATGTAAAGCGTAAAGTTAAAATGCTTATAGAAGATTGAATATGTTCATTTAGAAAAGATCATCAATACATGTATTAACATATATCAGATTGTATATATATATATATCATATTATTTATAAAATTATGAAAGATCATTATATTATAAGGTTTTTATAGATTAGCATATATATTATATTCTTTTTCTTGGATTATTGTAGTTTAGAAGTATGATTACTTTTGGGTTATCTTTCGATAATTCATTATGTTGCTTTAATGATATTTTTTGGTTTTAAGCATTTAAACAAAATGAATAGAAGAAGAGCAATTGTGTATAGAGGACGAGAAGAACAAAGAAGATATAATTTTTACTTAATTTTAATTGTTTTATTTAGTTGATCATTTATGTATTTATTAAATATTAAACTGTTAGTAATAGAATTAGAATAACAAAGAATTGATTTTCATCGTCCGGCTATCCGTTCCCATCTTGGTTAACTTCAAGATCTGGATCGGGTTGTGATACAAATACTCCATAATATTATTATGTGCCGCTCACTTGGTGACACCGATTTATGTTTCCTAGATGGCTTATAAGAGTTGCTACAAGCATTACTGATGTTGGTAAACTATTATAAAAAAAACAAACCTGAGATTTAGCTTGGGTTAGGAGGGTAAAATTGGCTATAGCTGCTGTCCTAGAGAAAGCGATGGCAAATTAGAGGCACCGGTGGCAAGGTAGGAGAGGTTTGGTTGTTAAGGAAGTTCCATCACCTATTCTCAATTAAATTACTTTTACACCCCTTGAGGGAGAATATGATACAACGCTCCAAAAGGAGGAAAACCAGAGAAGAAAGTATCTGATAACATAAAATAAACAAAAAGTTCAAAAACAGATTTTAAACAATATATTTATATACTCAACAAAGAATCAATATCCTTAGCGCTAGCCAGCTTAATAGGACGGATAATGCCAGAGTTAACCCAAATGCCAGAGTTAACTCAAACCACAATAAGAAGCAAATATTATTACTGAAATGAACAGGAGGTTACAATCAAACTCACGAGAACATGAAAAATAAAAACTAACACGCTCATGACAAACTGCTAGGGTGGATCTTGAGTGGTGGTGTTAATGGTTGTTAGGCGCTTGGAAATGTGGTGGTAAGTTCGGGAAGTGGAGCAGAGGGGAGGATGCAATGGGGGAACAAGAGGTGCTTGTTGTCTGGGATGGCAACATGTAGGTAGAATGGTTGGGCAGCAACAAAACATCAAGTTAAAGGGGTTTTTGGGCGGCGATACCGATTTAGGATGGTCGGATAGTGGTAAAACAACAAGGTGAGAAATTTTTGTGTGGGGGCAGTAGTATTAGTTGGCTGGACAATGACCAAACAACGAAACGAGGAATTGAACAGTGGCGAAAGCAAAGGTGAAGGGTTGGAACTGCGAGGGAAGCGAGGAGGGAGGGGAAGGGGAAGGTGATGGTGATGGTGATGGCTAGAACTTTAGAAAACAACAACTAGAAGCCTATTCGGGGTGGCTGTAGCATGAAGGATGACGAAAAAAATCAAAGGGATGTTCGCGAAGGATGAGAAAATTCGAGGATAAATACCATATCAAAAGCGAGATACGACTGAAGCTGTCACAACCAGGCTCGAGGCTTGGAGTCAACCAAGACGGGAAAGAACGGTTGGACGATGGAAATCAATTCTCTGTTATTCTAATTCTATTACTAACAATTTAATATTTATATAATACATGAAAGGACCACTATATAAAGTAATTAAATTTAATAAAAAAAAATGTACTTTCTTGTTGTTCTCATCTTCTGTATACATTTGCTCATCTTCTATTCATTTTGTTCAAATGTTTAAAATAAAAAATTAATATGAAAGCAATATGATGAGTTATCTAAAGATAATACAGGAGTAATCACGCTACAAAACTATAATAATCTAATAAAAAAAGTATAATATATATGCATGTATATAAGAAATCGTACTGCTTTTTTATATTTATTTGTAAGCAATTTGATATATGTTTATAAACAACCTGATATATGTTTATAAGCAATTTGATATATGCTTATAGGTAATCCAATATATGTTTATAAATAATACGATATATGCTAATACATGCATCAATAATCTTTTTTAAATGAACAAACACTAATATTCTATATGCATTTATTATAACTGTACTTTTACTTTATACTTGACATATACATCTGTCTCAGTAAGGATCACTGTCAACAAACCTAACACACTCTTGACCGATAATGTCTCATCAGCACAAATGTTAGCGATATAAACATCACAATTGTCTAGGGTGAAAACACTTTTATCTGTCCCTGACCGATATTTTCTCGTCAGCACAACGGTTAATATTGTAAACATTACAATTATCTGGGGAGGTAAGTTCTGGTCTATTCGCTCCTGGTCGATATTATCTCGTCGGCACAGCAGTCGGTGATCTAACCATCACAAGTATCTAAGATGGTAGAAAAACTCTACGCACTTGGGTACACTGACGTCCCTTGTCTATACCATTAGGGGGTGAAATTCTCCTCTAACATGCACACACAAGCATTCACATATAATATATTTCATTCTTCATTCGTACATTATTTTTGAGACATTTTTATGCATCTACTAATATACATATTTATTCTACTGTACAACTATTCATCAGACTTCTTTCATATCATTCATATATCTATCTCATGCAGATCTCTTACTTGCATCTATCTCATACATATCTCTTATATCATGCATATCTTTGATATATGTCTATCTTATATGTCTGTTTTAATATCATTCATCTCATGCATGCATATTTCTTTCTATAATGCTTATCATGCATATTAATCCCATCAATATGAAGGATCTGATTAAACTAGGGCATACATGAAGTCAAACATACATTGAAATTTAGAAATGCAATTACTCACCTCAGTTGTTACGCAAAACTCTTTATCTTCGACAATTAGCTGGAGTTGCGGTGACTTTTATGTTGAGTTTAATAATCTATAAAACATAAGATTAAAATTTAAGCCTCAAGTAATTGTATTTAATCAAATTAATCTTCTTAATTTAGGATTAATTTACCTGAAATTTACATGGTCGTTTTACGATGAATGTTCACACTCGCCTCGAGCTTGCTACCCCACAAACAACCTAGAATCCACCATTAATTTTAGATTTAAAGATTTTTGGCTAATAAAGTAATTTAACCAAAAACATAAATGATTTGCAAAAACATTCCTTAAACGACTTTCTCGGCAACCGATTCTTCTCCAAATCTGTCAAATTTACTTTCTATCACTTTCAACCACACTTCTCCTGCGCTGATAGTTTGTTAGAACTCTTTTGGAAGCTCTCAAAAGACGTTCAACACTTTTGACAAACAATCGATGCCTTTGATGGCTATCGGAAACGGGGAAAGTACGAAAAATGAGGCATACTTCAATTTGAAAAGATGAGGAAGGAAATGAAAGCTTAAAATGGCGAGAGAGGAATTTGTACCTTGGATTTCACCCGGGAAACTTGGATAGTGAGCTGTGCCAACCCAAGTGCCGCTCGGTTTGCTAGTAACCCGTGGCTACACATGCCCTTGCACTATAGCAAGGGTTGTGACCCCTTCTGCTACTGTCGCGTGCGAACCAAACAGGGGAAGGGAGTTCGGGAGATGAAAATAGGGAGGGAGAAATTTTCGAAGATCGTGTCTGCGGAATAAAAGGCGAAGGAATGTTGCTTGGCTACAGTGAAGTTACGGGTTTAACGTAGGATTTATGAATTAATTACTTTAGGTAGTTTAATAAAACTTATAACTTTTAAATTTTATATCTCAGTCTATTCATAATGAATATATAGTGCTTTATATCAAATTGTTCGATTTAATACGTAAAATTTTATAAAATTAAGTCGACTGAAATTTGAAGGGTGCAAAAATTGAGGTACATTACAAGCTGTGAAAATTTATTAAATTTCTATAAAGTTGGTTCTTACAGGAGCACCGTTCGACCCTTGGAGGAGAATCACCATCTCGGAAGAAGATATAGCTAGAGCACCACTTGCCTTTGGATATAGTCCTAGAAGAAAAAACTTGGAAACACCAACGACTGTCCCAACAGAAAACACGCGAAAAGCTGACCTAAAACACAAAAATAACAACATTTATAGAATGAGGTAATTAAGGAGCGGTACCCACTCATATGTGGCAAACACCTGTCCAGATAGTGCCTATTGGCCCTCCCTCTTTTCTGCTAAACTTGGTTCAACCCCAACTGGTGAAACTTGCACTTGGTTCCCGGTTCAGATGCAACTCCCACATCGTCCAGGGCTTCGGGATGCGACTCCCGCATTGTCCCACATCGCGGGTGGGATGCCCACGTCAATTGAGTTGCTTGAATCGGCTTGGGACTTGGTCCGTCCCTGTTCCTTTTCTGTGTTCGTGCATAGCTCTGCTAATACGGACATCCGTGTCACTTAGTTTAGTGGTTGCATGATTTGTCTCCAACAACAAGATTTTGAGTTTAAGATCTGTGCATGAGTTAAAAATATACTCCATAATACTATTTTTAATACATCAGTTGGCATTATCATCATCATTAATAATCACTAGCTATATCACGAGTATTTGGGATCAATTAAATTGTAACGTCCCATGAAACTCCTGCAAGTGCAAGGTCTTTAGGGAAGATGATGTACAACATCGCTTTATTGAAAGTCCCTTTACTCTGAAATGCGATTCTTATTCGCAATGCATCCAATTAATGACTTGCCAGCCCAGCCTTGTTATATGTTTGGCCTTAAAAGGAAAAGACGGTTATTTTTCTTTGAATACGACACATGAGATATAATAATATTTGATTATATGGGTTCCTATTACATAAGTTGAATATAAACGTGTCTAATTGTTTTTATTTTTTGTTTTCAGTGAAGTTGACAAGCTTTATTTCTTCTACGTGCTTCAGGTTTTAACTGAGCCAAAAAATGCTCTTTGTAAACAGTACAGGAAAATGTTTGATATGAACAATGTGAGCATGCGTTTCCATCTAACTTGTAACATATTTTTTTTAACCTAGAAAACTGATTCAAAGGAAATGAGCTAATCTTACTTTCCTTTCAGGTTAGGCTACACTATTCAGAAACAGCACTTAGGCTTATCGCTGCAAAGGCTATGGTTAAAAGTACAGGTGCAAGAGGATTGCGAGCAATTTTGGAAAGTATTTTGACAGATGCAATGTTTGAGGTGTGTTAATTACGTAGTTATATCTCAAATTTTAACAAAAGCTTTTCTTTTAAATAGGTTATGTTCTGTTGATTACTAATTAAACTTTATGAATTCATGTTTTTTTGAAAATGTCAGAAACTTACCTGGGAGAGTTAATTTATTTTTTTTGTAGTGGAATTATCCTGAGTGAAAAATGAGAGCAGACGGAAGACATAACTCATACAAACATATGCATGATTTTCTACTAGAGTGTTCTGATGTGGAGTCACTGGGTTGCAAATCGTAAAACAGTGCTCTTTATATTTGAGTAAAGTGCAAAAGTAGTACCCCTGTCTATTTACATGAGGCTATTTTAGTCTCAAATTTAACTGAAGTTTTAAATTAATCTATGGACTCTTTTAGTGGGGCCTAAATTAGTCTTTACTGCGTACTATTTCAACCCATATTAAAAGGGTTGAAGGATTACATTGAAATTGTTATAAACTCTGGGACTAGAATGCCCCCTTACGAAGAATTAGGGGATCATTTAGACACTTTTCTTTTAAACTTGTTAAGGGAAGCAACATTGGATTGGATTTCATGCTTGTCTAATTTGAGAGTCAACTTCGAGCTTGGGATGGTATGGAATTAACCTAATTTTCGTATGTTCAATTCAATGCTGTTGGGTTCTAGAACTGATTTCACTGTGTCTTGAAGAAATCGACTTTGTTTTTTATGTAGTGATATATTTGACACTTCTTCCAACTCAACACTTGGGGAGAATGCTGGCTTATGTTTAGTTCAAAATGATAGATTTTGAAGCCTGGTTCTGTTGTATATGGGCGAAAGATGGTCCTTTTGGCCAATTAAAATCCTGAATCATAGAGGCTGGTCGAAGTTCAATTGTCTGTTGCAGCAAAATTTTGAAACCTGGTTCTGTTGTATGTGGGAGAAAGATTGGTCCTCCTGGCCAATTGAAATCCTGAATCTTAGGGGCTTGGCGAAGTTCAATTGTCTGATGCAGCAATAGGTCATAAAATGTGAAAACAGAGATTCATTCATAACATCTCTAGTCTGGCTTGATCCTTTGATTACGCCAGATTGTAATTAGGTTCTCATATTCCTCATTGAAACTGTAGCACATGGCTGAATCCTTTGATCAAGCATAGCCATCTTAGTCTTTTTTATTTTAGTTTAAGAACACGTATTTCAATATGTAATGAAGAACACAGAATATCGTTTAATGTCTAAACAGTTTAGACAAATATCATGAGCTTTGAGTCTATAGAAAGGGCCTAGTCTTGTATTAGGGGACAACCTTTATATTGTTAATTAATTGAGTATTTTCTCTTTATGTATTCTCTTAATCTTCTATCACTTCTACTTTTTCATTTTATTCGTCTTCCTGCAGGTCCTTACTTCCAGAAAAATCATTTTATGCGGATGATAGATGTAACTCTATGCTCTACCAAGTTCTATACTCATTGATACCGTTCTAGAGATTCTAGAAGGTGTGAAAGAACAAAGAAAGGAATAGATGTGGTAGGCTGGATAAGAAAAGTGGGAGGACAGCTGAATTTCTGGCATGGATGACAAAGGGACAGCAATCGGAACGGAAAACAGCAGTTTGTTGCAATTTGGATGATTTAGGAGGCCTTTGAATGTCCGGGAGAGATAGCCACCCGATTCTCTCAGGTTACTGACACACCACCCGAAATAAACTGAAGGATATAACATTCTCATAGAAAAAATCAGGAGAAAACATCTCCAAATAGCATAACGAAGCCAGAAGTCCTTTCAAACAGCAAAACACCACCTATAAATAATCTTCGAATTGGAAATAACCTTGCTTATTCAGGTTATAGATATACCACCTGAAAGTAACTCAAGAATATAGCATTCTGAGAGAGGAAAAAAAACCAATTGAAATTCTCTCCAAATAGCATAACAGAGTGAAGTCCTTTCAAATAGCAAAACATCAAATAGCAAAACACCACCTCTAAATAGTAGTCTAATTGGAAAACCTAATTAGAAATAAAGAAATAGAAAATAAATGAATTGGAAAGAAGTAAAAATGGCATAAAACAAGCTGAAAATAGAAAAATTCATGTGACTTTGTTGGCTGCTCTGTTGCCTGAACAGGGCTTCCCGTGATCACATATTTTGTTGTTTGTAGAATCGCAGAATCCCGTGCAATAGACACTTCATGCCATTTTCTCAGGCTAGTAAGACGGTTCTTCTTCTTTGTAATGATCTGAATTCCATTGTCTGATGTTCTTTCTCACCAATCACCCAAGGAGATTTTCAACATTGTGGTTCACCCCTCCTGTTTGACCATTTATCGAGGGGTGCACTGTTGAACCGAACTGAAACTTTGAACCCATCTTACTTTATAGAGTCGTTCGGAAGTTGCTCAAAAACTACTCATTTCCGTTTGAAGTGATGACATGCTGAACTGCACTCAATATTTGCAATCTAAGAGGTAAACCGAATGTCAGAGAATCTTGAACTCCTCTAGTGAGGATCACATTGCCTCAGATATCGTTTCTTCCATGCCACTGTCTTCTAGTATCATCAAGGCCAATTTCATTGGTGCCTCCCTCTCCTAGCTTGTAGAAATGTGGCATAGGCCACTAAAGTTTCTATCTCTGTCGATGCACTACCCATCATGGCTAAATCCTTCAAAGACAGAAGTATAATATATTTCCCATCCTTGATAAGTGAATGGGTGTTTTTGCGGTCGTACTCGCATCATATTTTCATTATCGACTCAAAGAATGTGACACACATTTATAGGCTCAACATCACTTCAAACCTAATCTTGTAGGTTGTCTCTTGTAGAAAACTACTCGAGACATCTCTTGTCAATTATTATCTTATTTATTATCTTCAATTATGATAGAGAATATGGTTAAGAATGCTGCCGAGTAGTTGAACTCAATTTATCCCCATATTTGTACACACATTTTCACATATAATACCCAATTTTGGCAAAATCAAGTAAAATTGTGTTTATTTTAACATATACCCCAATTTTCGCATTCCCAGAAATCTAACCAAATCAATTTATAAAATTCTACATGTTGAATTGATCAACTTGACATATAACACTAAATATAGATTATGAATATATTTGGAATTATGAAAATAAATGGATAACAATTTAATTAAATTTATTAAGCATTTGATTAACCCAATAATCTCACATTACTGTGGCCGACTGACTTTCTTCCTCGCTTTTTCAACATGTAGCAGTTGGATGAGATTTGGATTGCTAGAATTAATTATGGGGGTGAATAAATGTATAGAGTGTTTCGAATTTCCTATTCACCTCTTCCAATTAATCTTTGCCCATGGAGCTATGTTCGGCTCTTGTAGCAGATGCAATCAAGCACAATCTGCAGGGAGTTAAAACGCTCAGTTTGAGGTTCAAGAAGAAAATTTTGTGAGTAGAATCTCATTCTCAAGCAATATGAAACAACCATTTCTTTCCCT